TAACTACATCTTTGTGTAAAGGTGCCTGAAAGCGGCTGTAACCAGCCAGTTTACACTAGCACAGTCCTACCCGGGGTTTGACAGTACTCTACCCATACACCTTGGAAATCAGGTCCCCAGGTTTGCTTGGCCGCATCAGGCACTTTTCTCTCTACTGATCACGTGCCCCCTAAGACACATGCCAATCGGACAGCCATTCCTAGCCAACTCAGGCCCAGCTCCCAAGTCCGCACTCCAAACGTCCAAATGCGGTTGTTCCTTAGAAAATGTGTCTTGATCTTTCTCTTCTCTGCTTGGCTAGAGCTCCCTCGTTAACTCTGCACCCAGAATAAGGGAATGAGAAGGAAGGATATTTTTCAGAAGGAATACTGAGGTGAGAGAAGAGAAAAAAGAGAGACGAGGAAGAGACTTTCAGGGGTACCAAGGGTTAGGGTAGGGACAACTCTGCCTTCTTCAGTCATTTCGGGTAAACTCACTGCAGTGACCGCTGCCTAGTGCAACACCACGTTTCTATGGAACGTCCTTTCATGCCTCCGTTTCCTACAGCCGTTCCCGCTGGCACCCCCTTCATTAGATAAAAACAAACAAACAACGAATGAACAAAACAAAGCAAGAAAAGAAAATAAATAAATAAAAAGGGAATCTAACTTCTTACCAAATATCCTAGAAGGGGATAAACTCTTCAGTGTGGTTGGTGGAGTCTTCCTGGTATGTTTGTCGTGCATTTGTGAGTAGAGTAGGTTCTTTTCCTTCCTTTCTCTCTCGGAAATTATGGAATGTACAAGTTCAGTTTCGTAAGAACAATACCGAAGTTGAAATTTGGAGTGGGTGTTAGTGGTTCTGAATATTTCAAAAATTATTTCATGAGAAATTGTGAGCTGAATATTCGGCAGGATTCTGAGGCGGTGAGCAAATATATTTATTTCTACTCGGCTGAATAAAAAGCAAAGGTTCCAGCTAAAACAAACAAATTGGAAAATTCAAGTCCAAAGAGGAACTTACCGGGACCTACCACATATTTAATTTACAAAACCCAAACTGGCTATCCCTGGGGGGTCGAATTCCCTGGGTACTAGCCGTGTTCTGTTCTTTGGGTTGCGGGTTTCGTAGACCCTGGCGCAGCACTGTGTGTGTCTGGTGGTGAGGGTGAAGGTCTGGTCGTGAGGGGCGGGGGGTGTTCTCACACCTGATTTCACCCCAGGGTCCTGCTGGACGAGAACGAGGCCCCGAGGGCAATTTTCTAAGAAAAAATTCCGAACCTCTGACCTAGAGGAGAAACACGGCACCCAGGAGCCTGGACCCAACGAGATTGGGGAAAGGGGCCTTAAAGCCAACCTGAAGGAAAGTGAACACTAAGGTGTAGATGTGAAACATAAACGGGGTTGGGGTGGGGTGGAAACCAGAGGTTCGCTGGGAAGAATGAACAAAAGAGGGGACAGGGTAATAGACGAATGCCACCACCCTACTTCGGTTTTGTGCAAATAGATTGTCGTGAAGAATTTTAATAATGTTCATCTTGGATTTTTCTTGACCCCAGCAAGCGGCGGAAAGAAGCTCCAGGACCAGAGCCCGGGAGGAGTGCACCGGTTCGGCGCCCTCACACCGCCTGGCTTCCCGGGGACGCAGCTGCTCCTGCCCGGTCCTTGCGAGGCTCTAGGCGTGTTTGTGTGGCGCTTTCGGAAAGGTTTGTTCAGGGGTAGCCGGAGGCGATAGAGATGGGAGCGACCCTCCCAGCGCTGCTGCCTCCGCTCACTCCATCACTAACCTACGTTTCTTCGGCGCGGGTGGCCGACTCCGTGCCCACCCCTCCCCAAACCCTACACAAACCTAATTAAACCCAACTGGGTTGGCAGAAACGCTCCCTGCTCCCAGAAGGTCGAAGCGCCGCCTTGCTGGGCCCAAGGCTGCTTCTCAGTTTCCCTGTCCCCTCGGCCCTCCTCCCCGCTCTAGCCCGGAACTTCATCTCAGCCATGAGTGAAGTTGAGTGCCCACGGCTGGCAGCTCATGGGGTCCCCAGCAGCGCGGCCGTGGTTCACCCCAACCTCCCTGCGCGGCTCCGGGTCGGCTGCCTCTAGCTCAGCGGGCGAGGAGCGGGGCGGCTCCTCCTTCCCGCAGGTCAAAGTTCCTGGGCCAGGGTTTTCCAAAACTACCTCCGGGCAGGGCACCTTGTCCCCTGAACTTGTCTTTGGGAGTTGCGGGTGGGGGCATCCGTCGTGCGCGGCCCTCTAGTTTGGGGAGAGCAGCAGGGAGCCCGTAGAAAGAACCAATTCATTCACTCCCCGAGGGGCATGATTTGGGTGGCAGCTGTTGTGGGCGAGAAGAACCAGCGTGCTCCACCCTGGCTGCGCCTTTAAACCTCAGCCAACTCGGGTCTGAGGGGCAGACGGTCCGGAGCAGACCCGGACCCACTGCGGCCCCACAGCCCCTAGGGTTGCACTCCGTTGCTCCCTTGGCAACGTTGCGGTGCAGATCATAGACCCCTTGGAAACAATTGCGAGGCTCATCAACACATTTTGAGGGGCACACGGGCTATTCCACACTCTCCGCCAAGGAATCCGAGGCATTACCTCTACTGCGCGCAATCCACGGACAAGGATGGGCGTAGGTGGTTACTTGAGGTTCACAGAGATTTATAAAGGGGTAAAGACTCGGGTGTTTAGTTTTTTGTAAGGACCGAAAATCTCCGTAAAATCTGAATATAACAGAGATTTGCCGAGCTGAAACAGGATAGTTTCATCCCTACAAATTTTGCTTCTGCTCTCCTTTTTTTTGGACAATTCCCATCTCACTGGGCTTTTACAAAAGTTGCAGTCCATATCCTGGCGCCTAATAGCTCCCCTGCCTCTGTTATCTAACAAGGAGGGCCAAGCTATAGTCCTAGGGTTGGGGTTCCATCTTCTCGCCCCCCTTGAATCAAATTACGCCAGTCTCTGGACCCCGGGTTAATACCAAGAAGGCTCGTTCATCCCTCTTCTCCCTTGCCATCGGTTTTCAAGGGAATTTCCGCTCTAGAGATTTGCGCTTTTTGAGCGCGATCTGCAGGCGAAATTTGGGGTCACAGTTTGCCCCAGAGTAGAGTGAAGTTGCAGACGGGTCCCTTTCTGAAAAGAGCGGCATTTTCTAAAATTGCGAGCTTCCTGTCCGCCCAGGCAAACGAGTTGCAAAGGCGCTGTGTCCTCTAGCGGCAAAGTCTCGCAGTTCATTTGTGAGCGCTCACCTACACCTAAGGGATCTGGTCGGAAGTCAATTCACGCTCAAACTGAAGTCTTGAGTGGGGGGGATGTGCTCTGAATGTAACACAGGTTTCGCCAGCGCCCTCTCCGTAACGAGGCCGGGAGGCTCCGCGCAGTCGCTTGAACTGAGGAACAGCTGATTTGTCTCCTCCACAGCAGATGGTCTTTGAGCACAGATTTGCATTCATTGTCTTGAAATCTGTTTTCGCGCTGGTGTTCTAGATTTCAGCAGCAGATCTATGCACAGATCAGAATACAAAATAGAAGTAAGAAAATAGCACCCAGCCAGGAGGATTTTTAGTGGACACCGCGAGGTGCCTGGGGTGGTTAAAAAGCTGTCTAAGGTTTCAGCTGTTTGGCGGAGCTGCGGCCGCCTCCCGACCACCAGCCCGCGGCCCAGCTGCGCGCCGTGGTCAAAGTTTTCGCGACTCCTCTGTTGCCTCGCTGAAGCTCTTCTGATGGCTCCCTGGGTTTCGGGAACTGGGTGGGGAAGGGGGGGGGGGGGGCTTCGGGACGACGCCGGGCGGCTCTTACACTAAGCTTGCCACGATCTGTCAGCAACCTCTCATCCGCACGGGTGCGACTCTAACTCGCATCCGCCCGGAGGTATTTTCCTTAGCTCCTTGACCATTTCCCCCGACACTCTATTTATTTGAACAGCACTTGAGCCTTGTTCGTACTCCCCCACCTCACCCCCCACTTTCATTCATATACCTTTCTCTCTCAACAACTTGTAAACCGCACACAAAATCTGAGTGTCACCATGTAACTCCAGGAGACTTGGGAGAGCCGTTCAGGAAACTGGATTGCTCTGGGGAACGTTTGCACAAAACATTAGTACATGTGGTCACACTCCGCTTCCTCACAAACACGCACACAGATCCTAGTCCCGGGAATGAATATGCCTCCAGCAGGATACAAAAATCTGCATCTAGAGGCAAGATCCACGGAGGCTCCCCGCTCTTGCATCCAGACTGAGCGGGCAGTTGCAGGCCACCTCGTTATAGTGCTGCATTTGGGGGCCCCCATCCCACGCGCGCACACCAAGGAAGCAGCTTCCACAGCTCTCTGTCCCCTTTCACCTCGAACCGTGGCGCGCGCTGCCGGAGGATGTCGGCTCGGTCTGCCCAGCGCTGGCCAATCCCGAGCGTCCATGCAAATGAGGCCCTTTACAGGGCCGCGGCTCCGCCTCCCGCTGCCAGGGCTGTACTAACCCATTCATGGGGCCGGTGAGAGGCTGCAACCCGGCTGCGAGGTGCTCACAGCCACCGCCTACTCTGGGCTCCGGGTCTTCCCCTTCCTTTTACAACTGATCCAGTTGGGGATTTTTTTTTTTTTTTCTAAATTGGAGCAGTGGGGAGGAGCAGGAAGGGTGAGGGACCAGGAGAAAGGGGAGAGATTAGGCAGTCATCAAACTCCTCCTGTTTCTCCCAGAACAGGTGATGCTTCCAAATTGTGATCACTTTCTGGAGGCAGTGCCGCCGCTGAAAGGATGCGAGCGACCTAGGACAGAGGGCCTGAGGTGGCAGATCTGAACTTGTGGAGGATAAAACCCAAACTTTACACCAATCAGCACCTCACGCGTGAAGCAAAGGACGGGTTATCTTTTTTTTTTCCTCCAAGAGAGACTCAAACTTCAGCACTTGATCCTCCCCACTTTTTTTTTTTTTTGGATTGTTTTAGAGGAAACAGTTTGGTGACAACGTCGGGAACAGTAAAGACAGTGTGGTAACTCTTATTTTTAAAGAGACAGATCAGACTTTTTAAATGTTTGGGATTCAAGATACTTTAGGAAGAGGGCCAGCTCTGAAAGAGAAATCGCTGGGTGCCGAGATGGATTCGGTCAGGTCCTGGGTCCGGAATGTCGGCGTGGTGGACGCCAATGTCGCGGCGCAGAGGTAACTAGACGGTCGCACAGTTATTATGCTCTCAAAGTCACTAGCTCGTTTGCTCTTCTCCCACTGTCTCTCTTTCTGTTACCCCTCCCCCGCTCACTCGCTCTGTCTTTTCCTCTCTTCCCCGCATCTGTCGCCCTGCCCCGCGTGCTGGGGCTCGCCCTCGGGCAGGCAGGTCGCGGCAGTCTGGGGAACACTTACCCTGCAACTAACACTGGAGTTGCTGAATTGCCTGGGTCGTTATGTTTCTCCCCCACTCCTTCCCCACAGACCATTCTTTGGGAGGAAAAATAACAAAGTAGAATCCAATGCCTCACAGCTCAGTCCCTAGCCGGGTAAGGAGGGGCTGGCCCAGAGTGGAGCTTGAGGACCAGAGCTGGCAGCGGCGGCCACGGGAGAGCCGGCTTCCCCGCGACTGCAGAATTCTGCCACGCCGCTTGTAAGCGCCTCTTCTGCCCCATCTTGCGGGGCGATTTCTGGAGGCCAGGAGCCCGGAGGGCTGATGGTGGCAGTGGCGAGAGGAGCCGGAGAGGCTGCTCGGAGCGCTTTCCTGGGAAGGCAAAGCGGCTCGGAGCTCTGGGAGGAGAAGGCAGTCTGGAGGGTCTGGGCGCAGAGATAAAACAGTGAGCTAGAAGCTCCGAGGCGGGGTGAGGAAAAGAAGAAATTAAAGCGAAAAAGACGAAGGAATAACAATAGAAGAAATTGCAGAAGAAGAAAGGCGAGGAGAGGAGCCGGCCGCAAACGCAGGGCATCACCAACCTCTAGTTTTGCTAGTCCCTGAAGTTGAGTGTTTCTGAGTTTCGTATGCTAAGAGGCTAAACGCCTGGTCCAGAGAGCCAACCTACGAAGGCATTCTGGCCCCCGTCCCTCATCATCACTGCTGAGCTGGAATTTGTGGTCCCCATGTCCTTGTCTGCAAGAGAAAGCCCCCTTACCCCATGGAGCCCACGAACTTCTTCCCACGACTCCAGCCTCCCTATCCGTTTTCCTGGTCACCCCCCTCTAAGTCCTGACACATCTAGAAATTCCTCCTTTCCTAGCAGGACACGTCTCCAGGTGTCCCGGGTAGAGCGAACCAACTGCCATCCTTGGAGGAGAGGAGGCAACACTGGAAGCATTTCGGACACCGAGTAGGGGGCGACTCAGTCCCTCCTGTCCAAGCCCAGGACGCGTCCGGATCCCTCCGGCATACCGCACACCGCGCCGGCGTCTCTCCGAAGCTGTCTGATGCTCGCTGGGCTGCAGGACGAGGAAATCAGACAGCTCCGCAGAGCCTAGTCCGAGGCGCATTTCCTTAGCCGAGCTCCTTAAAGACACCACCCCTACTTTCCTCGGATCAAACACTTATTGAAATTGGAACAGGCAGCTCAAGCGGGGTATTCTAGCAAAATTTTACACCCTTTAAAAAGTGAAAAGTGCTCTCTCCCTGGGACATGAGGCCCACAGACCCCAGAGCCGCGGGGCAGCTCCAACCATCTGCGCGCTGGCCTGGGCCCCGAATTCATGTTAAATGTTATCTGGCGGCCAGTTTGTTTTCTGCCGAGACAGGTCAGCAAGGAGATGTGTGCATATACTCGAGGGCGCCTCTCGGGTCCTCCAATAAGGGTTTCGAGGTCAGCGGGTTCGGCTGGCGCCGCCCGTAGATGCGACTGGACCGAGGCTCCCCTCGGCGCCAGATGAGGACTTTCTCCGCCTCTTAATAACATTTTGGCTTCTCCAAGCTCAGCAATTTTGGGGGCAGGGTCCCCACTATTTGCTCGTTCCCGGTGGTCCGCGATCCCTAGGACTGATCTCGGGGATTCCGCCGTGCCATTGTCTTTGGCAACTTTTCGGAAGAGCGAGGGAAACAGGAGGTGAGGTCCTCTAGTAGGACCAAGGCTTGGGCTCAGACAGACGAGCCCGCCCCAGGGGGTTCTCACCTGCCGCCTTTCCAAGATAGCTGGCGCGGGGTAGGAGAGTATGGGCAGTAGCGCTGGGACGGTAACCCAAGGGAAGATAAAGGAAAAGGGTAAGGTCTTCAAAAATACTGAGGCGTTTATTCTTCAAACCCCGGACCCAGCTCCAATTTTTTAGCCATTCGGCGGCCACCGGATAGGATAGATGAAGGTAGCCGACGGGACAAGATTTGGGTCCCCGCCTGGGGGAGCCCTCCGGGCCTCCGTCTGCAGCTGGAATCCTTTGGTCTCCACTGAAGGCCTGACCTGGAGCGCTGGGGTGCCAGGGGGCAGTGGTGGCAGAGGCTGAGAGTGTCAGCCCTACCATCCGACCCCTGTGGCCACTGCAACTCCTCTCAAGAGTCTCCTCTTCTTAATCCGATTTTTTAAAAGGTCTAAGGGGTCCAACACTCTTGACCTAGGACACGGCCTCTTGACCCTCTGCGGTGTTGCATGGATGCGTTGGTAACATCCTGTCTTTCTCTTCTTTTTCGGTGTCCTCCGTGTTTCTTCTTTCGCAGCGGAGTCGCCCTGTCCAGGGCCCACTTTGAAAAGCAGCCTCCCTCCAACCTGAGGAAATCCAACTTCTTTCATTTCGTCCTGGCGCTCTATGACAGGCAGGGGCAGCCGGTGGAGATTGAGCGCACTGCCTTCGTAGATTTTGTGGAAAACGACAAAGTAAGCGGGATCCCCTTCTTCCCCTCTCGGCCTAATAACTCCTTGCAAAGCACTAAAGATTACATCTGTCACTTGCAACACTTTTCCGTTCACATAATCAGGAATGATAAATCGAGGCTTCTCACTCGAAGCCTCTAAATCAGTCGATTTCCCGGGCACTTCCTTCAGTCCCTATTCCGGAGCACCGCTGCTCCGTGGGCTCCCCTGGCTCTAGCACACAGCTTCTGGGTCATTAGCAGAATCTCCTCGTGGACTGACCGCGCAGCAAATACCTTTTCCACTATAGCACAGTTTAAAAGTATACCCAAGGCCGCGCTGTCCTTCTCCGGGTTGTTTTTGTTATTTTGCACCTGCTGGCTCCCGCTTGGGGATAGGAACCAGGTGGAAACCCAGAGGCCAGCCTTGGCCATCCTTTCCCGCTGAGACTGCTGTCCCACTCTTGCTCCCCTAGCATGGGCTTCCAATCCAGATCCGGGTTTGGTCTCAAAGGAAGCTGATGTGTGAGGAAAGGAAAGTCTCTTGCCCTTTCTGAGCCTTAGTTTCCTCAGCTGTACAACGTGAGCTTTAGAGCAGACGCTCCAGAGGTCCCTCTTGAACCTGGGCCTGGGTTCCTGCAGCTTGTGCCCCCCCCCCCCCAAGGCGCTGGTCCTGTCTGCATAGCGACCAATGTAGCCCTTCCATATGACAGGTCCCTTCACTTTTCTGTGCAGAAGCCTTGCAACTTAAAGACAGACAGAGCTGGGTGGGTTAGATGGGGACTGTTAAAGACAGTGTTGTGCAGTGTCCCTTTGTTGTGACTGGTGGGATCGCACTTCTGAGGATATTTTTAAAGGGAGAGGGACAGAAGTTTGGAGAGGGTCAAGTGGCTGAGAGCCTTGGTAAGTTTTTGAGGTGGTCCTTGGGCAGAAGCTCCTGCCCTTTGACCAGGGGCTGGGCAGGGGATAGTTCTAGGCTGCCAAAAGGAGGGGGTGAAAAGCTGGGGGAGGTGGTGTAGGGACTTGCTCTTTCCTTTTTCCCTCATTTGAGGGGCTCCAAAACAAGGGGTTGGAACACCGGCTTGTCTTTTTAGGAACAAGGCAATGAGAAGACCAACAACGGCACCCACTACAAGTTACAGCTCCTCTACAGCAACGGTGAGTGTCCCATGCCCTCTGTGTCCAGCTGCCCTCACATGTCCCTTTCAAGGAAAGCAGTTGACCTTGTTATGGTAGCTTGCAGGCAGTCTCAGGACTAGGGAAAGCAGGGTTTTGGGAGGCTCAGTCAGGGCCAGGGGGGTGGGTGGGTTAGGGTTAGGGTGAGTGGTCTTTGCCCTCAGAACCATTCAGCCTACAGGCCCATCTGCAGCCCTGGGCAGCTTCCTGGGCCTGGTCCTACTGCTGGGACAGGTTGGGGGTTCCCCTGGAGAAACTCCTGGGTCCTTACCTTATGCCATGGCCTCCCCACAGGTGTCCGCACGGAGCAGGACCTGTACGTCAGGCTCATTGACTCCGTCACGAAGCAGGTGAGCCCCGTGGTCTACTGGGCTCCTCCTCTACAGGGCCCCCTCCGACCTACCTCCTCCATCTTCCCCTGACCTGCCTCCACCATCCATAAATTCCTGGGTCAGACTTCACATGCCCTTGGACAACTTGCACCTTGTCCACTCTGGGAAAAAAAATTTCCCATCTCTTTCCAATTTTTTTCTGGGTGGGTAGGTGAGCACAGGAGTGAAGGGAGGAAACAATTGTTGGAAGATTCAGTTTTCCCAAACATTGCCTTTTGCAAGAAATGTGTTCTCACGGGGTAAACTTATCTATGATTACTTTGCTTGAGTTAGCCAGGCCACAGAATGGGTTCTGTACTTCCACTGGGCACACTAAATGAAGTAGTGTGCTTACTCTTCAGTCCCCTTTTCTTTGTTTCCCCACTTCCCTCACATCTTCCCTTCCTGCCTTTGCCTCCTTCGCAGCCCATAGCTTATGAGGGACAAAATAAGAATCCGGAAATGTGCCGAGTTCTTCTGACACACGAAGTCATGTGCAGGTAAGAGCTGCGTTGTCCTGCAGGCTTCGCTAGCATGCTGGGCAGGGGAGTGGGGCTCCTGCGTTCCCTGGCATCCCCAAATTGACTTATAAAAGTAATGGTGTACAGGGAGGGAGGCTGAGTCACTAGAATATCTCTTTTACTAAAGCCCAGATTCTTAGAGCATCTCGGAAAGGAAACCCAGAACCATGGTGTCTCGGGAGTTTTCTCCCCACCTGGACACTTTCTGTTGTCCAGCAGTTGGTGGCAGCTCAGGGAGGCATGGAGCAGCCTACAGCCAAGTTTGGGATCAGGAGTTTCCCTGAATAGTCTCTCACCAGGCTGGTACATGAGACACAGTTCCTACCCATCTGGCAAGCTCAGGGTAGATTTCCAAGTAGGGGTCACTTGTGGCATTAAAGAGTCCAAGCACTGGAGACTCACAATCTTGGCAAGGGACCACCAGAGAGTCCAGCAACCCATTTCCAGGACACCCCAGCTGAGGCCTTTGTGATGTTCCTTCCACCAGGGATGTTGCTTCTTCAGTGATTTCTCATGTCAGAGGATTTTCTTAGGTTAAAAGAAACTGTAGGGAGAAAGGTCAGTGAGGTTCACCACCAGTGATGGGAGGGGTGGGAGAGGACCCCATGCTGGACATCTGGGGTTGGAGCAACAGCTGGATTCTCCTGGCTAAATTGTGAAAGCTGCAGTCTACTAGAATTTCTGCACCTTTTCCCATCTTCTTTCAGAGAACAATCCATTCCATTTTGAGTGTTTCTTCTGCTTGACTAGAAGAAAATAAAAAATGAGAAGAATTTATCCACACGGTTATTCTTCCAACAAATGTTTATTGAGTTTCTAGTTTTGCCAGGTATTGGGGGTCCCACAGCAAAGGAGAGTTTTCTATAAAAAGGAAATTCTTGGAAGAGGTGGTGGTTTTACTATAAAAATGTAAATGTTTATTCCACACACAATTTTCTTCCTCCAAAATCTCTAATTGGAGCGAAAGGCTCAATTCTTCCTTACTCCGCTATTACTTCAGTAAATGTCTTCCAACTCCAGACTTGCTAGTTTTGGGTAATTGCAGGCCATGGCTGATGTAGTTTGGACTGTTTTATGGTCAACTCCTGGCAGCCCTGTCTCCATCCCAACCCAGTCAGGAAGAAACATAACAATCAGACATGTTTGTTTTGGTTTTGACCAAGTATTAGAAAAACAAACTTTGCCAAATGCAAAATTGAATTCTGCCAGAGCTGAGGGGGTCAGGGCTTCCTTGCCTGAGTAGCCGGGTGAGGCTTTGGGCGATAGAGTAAGCAGATAGCTACTTCTTATCCCTGGGCCCCTTGATAGATCCATTCCGAAAGAAAATACAATTCTAAGATGAACTTGCCTGTAATAATTAGACTGAATAGTCATAACACTTTGATTCAGTTGGCTAACTGAAGGGTGCTTTTTTATTTCTCTTTATACTTTTAAATGTCTTTGTTTGGAGAGATTATCTTCCTAAAAGAAAAGAAAACCCTAAACTGGCCCATTGTCTGATGAATTATACCTGTCATTTTAAATAATACTTGCATGCCCTATATAGCGGTATTTAAAGCTGACATTTTTATTTTTAAGCCAAACAAATCCTCCTCATTTTATTCTGTTTAAGTAGCAGCATCAATTTTTAAAGTCTCTGGTTTAGTTTACATTAGTAATACAATATAAAAATTTAATATACTGTAACTTCTCTGCATTTGAGACCTGGGAAGAGATGCTCTGCTATTTTCTTCCCAAATTAGAATTTAAAACAAATATTAATTAATGGGTTAATAAATGATCCATTGGATGGATACTGTGGAGAGAGAGAGAGAGAGAGAGAGAGAGAGAGAGAGAGAGAGAGAAGATGGCTGGGGTAGTGGCAAATGCTGGATGCATGTAAAAGGGAAGTTCTCATTCAATGTATCAGTCTGAGGTGGTTGATTCTCCAGTTAGGGAGAAAAATATTCCTTCTTCCACATTTTAAGAGCCAGTTATAGCAGTCAGTGACTGAGGGATGAATCAGATGCCCTCTTTCTCAATGGTTATGGCACACAGTTGCATTTGTGTGGCGAGTGTTTGGGGGCATACCTGGGAATTTCCCTGCATGGTTTTATGTTCTATAATCTTTTAGTCAAGAAGCTCATAAATTAGCATTTCGCTTTAAGGAGAGAAACAATATAAATCTCTTTAGGAATAACTTTTTCTCCTTTTTCCAACAGTCTCTGTTCCCCTCTTCCCTGCTTTAGTTCATTTTGCCATTATTAGTAAGGAGAAATCTAGTTGTTATGTTGCTGTCAGCCACCCCTGTGCCCTCAAATGCTCAGAGGGTTAAAAGATATTATAATTTGAACAGAAGTCGTCTCAAGGCCTACAGCTGGCTAATAACAGAGTTGTATTGAGCTAGAGCAAACCCCACAGCTGTGACTCTTCGCCACAAGGCGCAGGCTAGACAGGGCCCTAATCAGATGGGCCAGCCGGGCAGTGGGGCCAGTGTCTTTATCGGCCAGATGGTGTGAATTTAGACACTTTTGTTATGCAATCGCAGGGAGGAGTTGGGGAGAAGAAAACAAAACAAAAGCCACCATGCTGTGCGCTTATTTGAGTTTGAAATTAGAGACAGATTTTTGAAAGTTGAGTGCTGAATTTTAAAAAACGATTTTGGAAGGGAAAGGACATGCTCACTTGTCTTGAGCAGAAATTTGTCTGACTGGACACCCCGTGTCCATGGCTGAGGCTTTTTCTTCTCCAGCCGTCCCGTTTCCCCCTTCTTTCTCCCTTCCTGAAAAATTCAGGTAAGATTCAGGATTGGGATAAAATTTCTTGTTTTGCCCATCCCCATCCCTAACCTCTTTATTTTTTTTCTCTTTCCCTCTCAAGATTCCATGAAGAGATAGGAAGGATGAAACGGACTGTTAGCAAATTGAGGGTATTTCAGGTAAAAGGCTCTCTAAATGAGTACTAGAATAAAATAAACCAAGCCAAGCCAAACCTAGGGGTAAAGAAAGACCTTTCATTTTCAGTTATCAGGAGAAAAGGACACTTCTGAGCTTCTCCGTGGTAGTTAGGAACGCAGTCTTAACCTGGTGCCAAGTTCAGTTTCCTCTTCTCTTTGTTCAATTTCCCCCCCTTCTTTTCCTGTTTTTTTTTGTTTGTTTGTTTTTTCTCAGTCTTGTTCACTTGCTTGCTAGGTAATAACCCTAAAAAGCCTTTTTTACTAAAGCAACTAAACCTGAAGCTGGTCACTCAGGCTTTGATTGTGCGGCAAAAGGAAGGGATCACTGCATTTCCGTCTCTTACTATCCACGTATCTGATCCCCAGGACTGTGTGGGGGAAGTGGCTCAGGAATATCTTCCACTCTCCACTTCTCTTTGTTTACCTTACTATTCTGGCATTGACAGGGGGAAGGGCATGTAATAGGAACAGGACTGAATGTTATTTAAGAAACCAAATAAAGAATAACTAGGCTATCTTGTTAAGAACTTTTCTTTAGAAAGAAGAAAGAAAAAAAAAAAGAATTAGCTTTGGCTAATCTGGAGAAATTTTAAGAGGGGCTTAAATGGGGGCAAATACAGTCTATTCTTATTATTTTTATACTTTTATTATTATAGTGTAACAGCCAAGTCACTGTCTTCTACATCTTTTCTGTACTATTAACATTAGACTATACCTAAATATGTGACTGTTAGACAATGGAAGATTGGGTCCTGAAGTTTCTCTCTGCATTTTCTTTAAATATCATTTCCTTCCCTGAGCTGAATCCCCAAATTGTGTTACACTGGCACTGGGCTTACATTTTTTCTGTTTTTCTTTTCCTCCAGAGAAACTCCCCATGGAAAGCTGAGCAATTTTGCAAACTTACTTAGCCTGCTCAGAATCATTTCTTCTCAAACTAAACAGATTAACAATCTAACTGTGTGTGCTCTTGGAATTAAATTGTACCCAGCATCAAACACACATTTGGGTTAGGTTGCCATGCTGGTAATGTCAAAGGGGAGTCTAGGTAGAAGGCTTTAGGTAACTCGCATGTATGGGGCATTTGAAATTTTGTTGCTAAGAAAAAGGCTTGCCCAAGCTACAAAGGTATTCCACTGACATGAGCCACAGAAAACAGGAGAGGTGGGAGACTGAATGGGTGGAGGTAGGAGTTGGGAAGAAAGACAAAGGCTTTGGGAGGGGGGAGAGCAACTGGCCAGCATTTTTATTGGTGTTAATCTTGGGATGGATTGAAATTTTAAAAGTTAAGACCTAATATAATTTCAAAGGCAAAATATTATTCCAGAAAGTCCCAGCGGCAAGCTCTGGTATTTAAGAAAGTTGAGACAATTTTTCTTTTATTTCCTACTAATTTGATTGCATTTCTTAAAACCTCGTTATGCCCATTTGGTGGAAATTTTTTAGCATTTTTTGAGAATGACAAAATTATTCACTAAATAATCCTCATGTCTCTGTACAAGACAGATGCATTTTAAAAGTTGTAAAATATTTCTTTCTTTGTTTGTTTGTAATTTTGTGGAGGATCTGAGATGGTAAAAGTACTGCAGAGAACTAGAAAGGAAATCTATGACTGGGCTGTGTTAGGCCTGTGGGTCTGCTGCCACATGGCTTCCGTCTTTCCCTAACCCTGTCATCACTTTTGGAGGGTGCTCAGGGAATCTCGTAGCCTTATGGACTTCTTAAACCTAGAAGGGACTCTGGAGATAATCTAATCCAACATTTAAAATTTATATATAGGGAGGCAAAGCCCAGAGGAGTTAGAGATTAGACTGAATTCATGCAGCTGGTTTGGGACAGAGTTGGGTTAGGCGCCAGAGCCCTGATTCCCACGTTACCAATTTTTTTTGATTGGGCCGCACCAATCTTAAGCTACAGAGATACTATCATTGGAAAGGCAGTGCTTACATATAGTTTTGTTATTGGTAAGGTTTATTAGACATATTCTACAACCGGTGTGAGTGATAATGCTTTTCTTATAAACCATGTTAAAGTTACAGTCAATGGTGGACCATGTCCTTGAATAAGCTGAGAGGTATACAGAATCTGTGGTCCTGACAAGCAGCAATCGGGCAAAACAGGGAGGTGATGTTTCATTGCTTCTTCACCACCAAGCTTCCTTGGCCCTTTTTACATTTGTTTTGATCTCCCACACAGGGCCCTTTGGATTAAAGTGTTTTGCTTCTGCCCAGGTCCTTCTGAATCCTTTCTGTCTATTGTAATTGTTCTAGGACCTCTTCTTTCTCTGTGCATTCTCCAGTATCTACCCAGCCCTCTGCCAGGTGCAAGTTTTGGGAGGCAGTGTTTTCAAGACGGGACCTATATGTCCAGTTCCATTTCTGTTCTGGACTTGGTGAAAATGATTGGAGCTATCATTTTACTGCTCCCTGCCTCATCTTCTTTCGGTTGTATTTTTAATTTATTTTTCTTAATTTTTAAAATCCTCACCCAAAGATACTTTTCCATTTATCTTTAGATAGAGTGGGGAGGAGACAGAGAGAAAAAACAACAACATTGACATGAGAGAGACACATGGATTGGTTGGCTCCTACAGGACCCCAACCAGGGCCAGGGCTGAACTGCAACTGAGGTACATGCCATTGGCTAGAATCAAACCTGGGACTCTTTGGTCCTCAGGCTGACTCTCTAACGGCTGAGCCAAACTGGCCAGGGCTTCTTCCTATTTTTTTTTTTTAATGTTTTTTATTTTTATTTTTTAGAGATAGAGGAAGGGAGAGAGCAAAAGAAATATTGATGTGAGAGAGAAACAGTGATTAGTTGCTTCCTGCATGCCCCCCACTAGGGACCAAGCCCACGTCCTGGGCATGTGCCCCGACAGGGAATTGAACCAGGATCTCTCAGTCCATGGAACAATGCTCAATCCACTGAGCCACACCAGCCAGGCACTTCTTCCTGTTTTAGAATATATATCATAGTTCTGCTCTTCCACCTTCATATTTAGGAAATGATGAAAATGAACGAATGCATAAATATTTATAAAGTACACTGTGTTTTCCAGAGAAAGATGTTATGTAAATAAGGTTGATAATAATCCAGGCAGCTACTTGCGGTTTATTTATACATTTTCTTTTCCCTCTTTCTCTAAATATTTATTAAGACACAAAGATCTAAAATATATAGTCATAAAATCATTCAACACTGAGCTGGAAATAGCCTTATAGATTTTTAAATCCAGCTGTCCATGGTTCAGATTACAAATATGACTCTTGGAAAAGTTCTAATTTGCTAGGAATTACCCAGTTTATAAGTCACAGAGTGAGAATTTAAGTGGGTGTCTTTGGGCTTCAAGTTCACTGTTGTTTTTAAACATGGCCATAAATTCTGCTCTCAAGCTGCTGATAGTGAAGAGTCTACCCAGGACATATTTTTTTTTTGTGGACGTTCTTACATTGTATGTTCATTGTAGTTTCTTGATTTTGACAAATTTCTTTTACTCTTTTGGTTCCTTCCCAATCTACAGTCGATGTTGCGAAAAGAAAAGTTGTGGAAACCGAAATGAGACTCCTTCAGACCCTGTTATCATCGACAGGTAGGGGGAAAAAGTGATGTTTTAAAAAATCACTTCGGATTTCTTTCCTTTATGAATCTCAACTCTGAGTACTGATCACTTGGGCTTTGCCGTAAGGTTGGTGTTATGTTATCTTCAAAGCATGATGCTAGTTCAACATGTGTTTTCTTGTTCTGGTTGGCCTTTTTTGGAAGAAGTCAGAGCCTTCCTTTTTGAACTTATGTCTCTTAATTTATGACAGATTTTTTTTCCAGGTGCACTGGCTTCAGCCTAATAAGGAGTTCATGGATGGTAAGGGGTGGTAGAAGATGCCATCTCTTCTATCTGGCAGGGCAGGGCAGGGCCTCAATCAGTTTCCTGGAAGAGGCAGTGTATCTGAAGTTAAGTGGCAACCCCTTTATCATTCTCAGTGATTGCTGTTGGGCTTGAAGACTTACAATTTAGATTATGGTTTAGGGGATTATGACATGCTCTCTATTGCATTGAGGGAGATTCCTTTCTACCACAGAGGATTGCTTTCTGGGTTCTATGTTATATTCAGAGTGGTAAGATTCTTTGGGACAAGATGCTAATTCATTGAAATGTGATTTAGGCATCCTCAGCTGTCTGTTTTTGTGATTGGAAACAGAACTTACAAACCAATAAAGAAATACCAAATTAACTTTCAGCAATCATGTAATTTTTAAGAAATCCCATATTCCCACCCCTAATTTTTTCTCTTTCATTAAAAAACTGAATAATTCCCTATTGATCCTTTCTTTGGGTTTTCATGTTTCTAGCCAGGTCCTGAAATGGTTTGGAGAGACCACAGTCTCCAAAGTTGTTATCCCAGTGAATCCTCAGTTGGGAGAATGGAACCTCTGGCATTCTTCCCAGAAACCCAACTTGGTTTCTTCGTGGAAAGTATAGCATAGTACTAGGAACAAGGAGGCTGAAATTCTAATTTTGTCCTAGCTTCTGACCTTAGACAAAGCACTCAGCACCTCTATTCTTCAATGGTATAATGGAAAGAAGAGTGGGAGGGTACTGCCTGCTTCTGTAAGTTTTAGGAGACCACTGAACTAGCCAGGGCAGTTCTGCAATATTCTCTGAGATGCTTGGGGAGGATGACAAACTTAAAATGTTTGTCAGATGTATATGGTGACTTTGCCATCTTAGGAGGGTCAGGTGAGAGCAATATGAAACTTCTTTGGTTTTTCTGAAAGTGCATGAAAGCTTAAAATTAAAGAGTTGTAAGTGCTCTCTGGAGTCAGTCATCTTCCTCATTTGATAGATGAAGAGACTGAACCCGGGAATGGTAGCATGAGGAGCCCACGATGGCGTAGCTGATTGGAGTAGAGCCCGCACTAAAAAACAGTCGTCTTCTTTTTAGGCCTGCAGGCCTCTCACTGCCATCAGCTTCCCCAGCAGTCTGTCCTAACGCATGTGAGCGGGGTGTGCTGATTGCATGGGATGTAATGCCAGCTTCCCAGGATCCCTTGGGATCCTCTGGGGGAATTTGATTGATACAAGAGCAGCCCAGACAGAGACCCAGTTCTTTCCAGTGTGTACCCTGAGCTTTCTAATCTTCATCTAGTCTTTTCCACTAACTTTTGTTGTCCTTTCAAGAAGGCACTCTAACCTCATCATTGTTACATCTTTTCTTATAATAAACACCCCAGAAACCAGCTTTGGAAATATTTGCAAACTTGTAAATGCTCACTTGCATCTTACATCTCATCAGCTCGCATCCTAATGACTCTGTGCTTAGCTGCAGCTCTTACTGTAAGAAACTACAAATAAAGCTAAATATGCTTACATTTTCTTCCTATAAAATACACATGTTACCCATACAAAAGGAAGTAATCTTTTTGCATCTATGGGAGAAAAGATTTTTATATTTGGTGCCTTTGTTGTTAGTGCTAGAATGCCTTAATTTTTTTCAAAAAGGTGGAAACTGTATCTTATAGAGCTTTATGAGACTGTGGCATTTATTTTTATTCTCCTATGCACAATAAAACAGCCCAGTGATGTCTCTGTATCACTTGAAATATGCGCTACCTTTGAAATGTTTTGCGTCTGTATGTACATACCAAAGGGTACTGTAAATTGATCAGTATCGGGTTTTTAGAGAAACCATTTTATTATAAACAGATGCATTTATTTGGTTTGTTCATTGTAGGGCTTTGTTTGAAGAGATATTGCCCTCACCAGAATCTTGTTTTACTGCTGCTGAATGTCTCTTGGGCTTACGTTAGCCTTCATCCCTTCATTTGTGGAAGCAGAAGTGGATGCAGCCAGGTTTCCCTTTGTTGGAGGTGGGATGAGTGGGCTGTGTCATCAGAGGTTTGATTGAGCCATGCATCTAGTCCCTGGGTTCAACACTCACAGACTTGGAGATGTCGAGATCACCCACAAACCCCAAACAGGTGCAAAGTAATCTATTTTGGATTTCCTCTGAGTAAATATAGAACTCTCTTCTTTGCCCTTGTTCCTATAATGCCAACTAATTATCTCCTCACCTTCCTGGCTCAGTCTAACCAGGTACAGTTAATTTATACTGTCTGTCTCTGAGTTTTCTCACACAACAGGCACGCTCCACTCTGGCCCCAGGGAACCCTGCTTATTCCCCTGGAATTGTGCTTGTTTGGGGGAAGGGAAGAGGAGACTCAAGAGTGGTTCCCAAACTTTTCACCACCCAAGACCCCTTTATTTTTTCCCTTGGTGAATTCAGGATTTAGCAAAATTTTGTGTGCCAAACTACAGTTAACAAGTACTAATTCAGTTGTAAATACATTTTTATTAATCAAAGACATATAACAGAGTGGGAAAGAATCTCATCCCAGAAATACCTTGATCTCATCAACAGCCAGCCAGATGATCCTGATGAGATATACTATGTCATGTTACCCCACTGACATCATATACTTCCAGCTCAACCAGAAAACAACTTGACCTTTCACTTAGCCCATGTGACCACATCCTGGGCAGATACTCACTTTCTAACAGGCTGCTTGAAATATTTAAAAAATAGCTGTTGCTACCTTGTGGACCTTTAATTGAATATCATTGAATTCTACAATAAGGCAGCCCCCTTAGACCCTTAGTTCTCCATTTCCTAAGACTTAGCCCCAGACTGGGGATTCTTTTTCCCTGCTAAATTACTCCCTGAATGATCTCCCTAGAAACATACATTTAATTTTTGTTTCCAGTTATCTTTTCAGCATGTTTTTGTGAATTTTGGGGCAGCCACACCCCTCTCCACAAAGCCAGGCCAACACATAGCCCAGCGAAATTTGCTGTGAATCACGGCCTCTGGCGGAGTCTTCCTTCTGTGTACAAATGTGTGTGCATAGAGCAGGGAGGGTTTATTAAATTTTAGTGTAAAATTTCAAAGTCCTTATCTGGAGAAAAACCAATAAAACAGAACAGAACAAAACAAAACAAAAACAACAATAAAAACAGAATCCTTACTGTGGTCTTCCACCTAAATCTTGTCTGTAAAGACCTGTGTGTGGGTGTGGTACATTAAAAAAAAAAAAAGGCTCTATCTGGAAGCTTCTGCATATCTACTGAATCTCTGGGGCTCAGGATAATCTGGTGGTCCATGGGAAGAGGATTTTAAGGACAGTCTCACTGATGTGAGAGAAGGAAAAAAGTCCTTATTGTTCCTGTACTTGCAGCTCCATTGAAAGTCAGATGGGTGGGGAGGGCAATATTTCTTTTTGAAACTTTGAAGGCTACACCTACCCATGTGCATACTGGTGGGATATTTTCTATTAAAAGGGCAGTTCCAACTTATTTCTCACATGCTAGATAGATATCACAGTCTTTTGTCTTGGGACATCAATCTTCTATATTTCTGAGATCTGTTCCCAGTGGGATTATTTTAAGTGCTGATGTGTTTTTGTTCATTTTCTTTTTCAAGAAGCCAAATAAACAACAGAATGACTCTTATTCAAAAGGTTTATTCAGAAGTATTTGGTTTTTAGTTGTCTATGAGGGGTTTTCCTTATATTATCTTCCTCTTATGAAAAAATTAATTGTGGTAAATGACACACAACATAAATCTGGCCATCTTAAGCAAGTGTTCAGTTCAAAGTTATCAAGTGCATACACACTGTTGTGCAACCACCACCACCACCCATCTGTACAGCTCTCTTAATCTTGCAGAACTGAAGCTCTGTCACCATTAAACAACGACTCCTCATTCCCCCTTCTTCCCAGCCCCTGGCAACCAGCATTGCATTTTCTGTCTCTATGAATTTGGCTACTCTAAGTACCTCATATAAATGGAACCACATAGTATTTGTCCCTTTATGGCAGGCTTATTTCACTCAGCATAATATCTTCATAGTTCCTTCATGTTGTAGTATGTGTCAGAATTTGCCCATTGTGAATAATGCTGCTATGAACATGGGTAGACAATGTCTTTTTGAGTCACTGCTTTCAATTTTTATTCTTGGTATGTGCCCAGAACTGGAATTGCTGGGTCATATGATGGTTTGAGGAATCACCATACTATTTCCTTTGTATGGTGGAAATGGCTACACCATTTTACATTCTCATCAACAGCACAGGTTATAATTTCTCTGCAGCTCCATGTTACTTGCTATTTTCTTGTTTTTAGGTTTTTTGGGGTTTTTTGATAGTTGCTATCCTAATGGGTATGAATTTTTTTTTTCATTAAGTTTTCTCCTGCCATCATCTTGGTAGGCATCTTCACCTGATGCTTTCCCCTCTGGTCCAGGCTTCTTGTTTACCTTCCTGGCCATCTAGTATATCCTCTTCCTGCCTTTCTCTGCCTCACTGACTACCTTGTTCTATGTGCTTGAATCCTCTTTCCTCTGGGTCATTCATCTCTGCAGTGTATCACTTACCTCCAGGGAAGTTTTTTGTGAGATGGGGAATTTTGGAAGATAACTATGGAGAGTAAAGACCTAACTGACTTCCCATGCCTTAACCTGAATTCTGGAGTGTTCTTTTTATTAATTTATTAAACAAAATCTATATTAATCTATTCTTTATTTTTGGTGTAACAC